AGGGGTCCGCTCACACCCCTCAGACACACACACAAACATGCACACAGTGGGCAGGGGGTCCGCTCACCCCACACACGGTGGGCAGGGGGTCCCGGGCCGCTGGTGCCGGGCCGGTGCCGGCCTGCGAAGGCCCGTGGTCTGGTGCACAAGCTCCGCTGAGGCGAACAGCCGGCTCACGGTACGTGACTCGCAGGATGGTTTGGTTTGGGAGGGGCCTTAAAGCCCCTCCCATTCCAACTCCCTGCCACTGGCAGGGACACCTTCCGCTAGACCAGGTCGATTCGAGGATTTATTGGTATTTTTAATTGCAGGTATTGAAAACCTGCCGTGCGAGCTGCAGAGGAACTTCCAGCTGATGCGGGAGCTGGACCAGAGAACAGAAGGTGTGTTCAGGTATTTTGGCAAGTGAAAGCACAGAGAGTCTCACCTGAAGGATGGGAAGAGCCCAGGGGAGACTGGACTTTAGAGGATGTGTCTCCCCTTATTGCTTTTCCTTTTCTCATCCCGAGGGCTCTGCAGTGTTTGTTTCTTCTCTGTGAGGGCTGCAGCTCCCAGGGCTTGGGTTTGTGTTCAGCCCTGGAGTTTTACTTTGTAGCTGTGTGATCACTGTACCTGATGACCCCTTGGAGGGTCTTGCTTGCTTACATTCCCATATCTACCAAGTCCTAGGTTGCTGTGTGCTTTACAGGACCATTTTCTTTTTCCTTTTGACTGCACAGTAAAGACTTTCAGTTTGAACCATTAGAACAGTAAGTAACTGTGCAGCAAACAGAATATTCTGCATGTGGGAAGAGGGGGTGAAGCTTGTGAAGCCGTGGTTTGGTTTCTGATCTTAACTCTGAATTAACCCTTGAAGTAGCTATAAAACACTTGAAAAAAGCAGAATCACACCACAAGAGTTGAAGAGTGAATACCTTTGACTTAATTTTTTTTTAATTGCTTTTAAAAAGGAAAATACGTTGAGGAATTGAGGGGAGTCTAAAAACTTTCAGGAAGGGTCTCCTGAATACCATAGAGAAGTAGAAGAGCCAAAATACCTGCTTTGGAAGACAACTCTCTCCCTTTGCCTTTCAGATAAGAAAGCAGAGATCGACAGCCTGGCCGCAGAGTACATCGAGTCAGTGAAGAACATGCTGCCTGAGGAGCGAGTGGAGCACCTGAAGAAGATCCAGAGTGCCTACAGCAAGTGCAAGGAGTACAGTGATGACAAAGTGCAGCTGGCCATGCAGACCTATGAGATGGTGAGGCTCTGGAAAAACGGGCACGCTCTGGAGTGGTGCACGTGGAGGCACTGCCACCGCATCAGCTTCTCCTGGCCTATCTATTTTGTTGCTTAAAATCTTACTGAAACAAATCATTGGTTCTCAAGCTTAGTTTCCTCACTGTTGCCATTCCCAAAAAGCACCTCCTCCTGTGTCACTGGGCTTTGTGCCAAGAAGGCTTCTCTTGTGCTGAAGAATTAATGAGTTTATCTCCCTTGGAAGTTGCTCTGTCAGTAGTACCCGTCTGCTGTGTGATAATGCCAGAGAATTTTCCCCACTCCCTCCTCCCCAGCAGCTCCTCTGTCAGCTGATAATTTATTTGGGGCTGGTCTTGGTTGCAAACAAGGTTTTTTAAGTCAACTGCAGTACTTTATTGTGGAGGAATGAAGGAGATCTGCTCCATTGCCTTGGTTTATTGGACATCGAAATTTCCTCAATGAACCTTGTGGGAAAATCCTCTTTCTTAAGATCTAGCTTTCCACTTTTTTATTCTTCTGCTCCTACTCCTGTGACCCTGTAGCTGCCCCTTGAGAATCCTTATCTCTATGTGTTTTACCCCCTGGATAAAACTCGAGGGAATCCTTCTGACTGTGCCAAGTGTGTGTTGTCCAGCATGTGGAGATGCTTTGGGTTGTGCTGCATCTACAGATGTTTTCTTGCCCTCAAACACTTCAGAGAAGGAAACTGTCACAGGAATATCAGTGGCCTAGATAACTGGCCAACTAATTTGATGACGGAGTGTTGCAGTGGCACAATTTGGGGGTGGTGGCTTAAAATACCTTTGCCACATCCCTGTTGTGTAAGTCACATTGTTGCAGCCAGGGTAGTACAAGGTACTTTAATTGATGTGCATTGATTTGATATTGGGGATAGTCAGTTTCTGCTTGTGTTTATTACTATATTTCTTTAATTAGCATGACAGTGTAGTACCAGGGGGAAAAGATGAACTTATCCACTCGATGCATTTCAAGGGCAATATTTGAACTGTGAAAATTGTAGGGACTAACAAGTTATTTTTAGTACCTCTCATCGTGTTTTGTTCTGCAAACAATTAGCCTGAGTTCCTTTGACTCTCCCTCATGTCACCTCCCTTTCTCTTTGCCCTGGAGGGACTGGGTCCCCTTGCTTTTCGACTCGTTTTCTCTCCGCCTCCGTTCGCTCCGTGTGTGCCATTTCCCTTTTCCCCGCCTTGTCCTGCGCTCCCACACTCTGTTGGTGGCGATAACAGCCAAGCCTTAGCCCTTCCTGTTTTCGTGGGGGGCTCTTTTTGGGGGTTTTTCTTTGTGGCTGAGTCTGTGGTTTCCCCTGGGTGCAGGTGGATAAGCACATCCGCCGGCTGGACGCGGACCTGGCGCGGTTCGAGGCCGATCTCAAAGACAAACTGGAAGGCAGCGACTTCGAACCCCCTGGATCTCGGAGCCTGAAAAGTGGGTGAATTTTATGCAATTGAGAGCCTTTTCCAGCACTGCAGGAAGGCCGAGATGTTAAAACAGGCCCTTATTTCTGGAAGAGGGAAAGAAGTGCACCATAGTTGCTCTGCTTGGCTTTAATGCTCTTCAAGATATTTACACTGGGCAATAGATAAAGAGAAATGTAGTGCTGGGATCAAAGTTGGTGTTTCTCAGATCACCCTG